GAGATGGTGACAGCTACAACCAAGTGCCCAACGTCAAACGCTTCCTCGCACAGAGACAGCATCTTCGACTTCACATCAAATACATGCAGGATGAGTGCCAACACGTCACGTCCTCGCCACCAACGCACCGAGATGGCGTGGGTCAGGGCATCACCGCGCGACTGCATGATGTCGAGGATGGACAGTGGAAGCGGCCGCGCACCGGTTACGACACAGGCGCGCCTTTCCTCCGACACGTGCTCCCGGTCATCGTCCTTACTGGTCACCGTCTCCCTTGTGAACCGGCCCAAGAGCAGCCCATGCCTCACGCCACGATCACGGGCTTCTGCAAGGAAGAGCGGGTGAGGAGGAGAAGAAAGCGTTTGTCAGTGCACAAACACACACACACACATACACGCGCACGCGCGCACACAGCGCACACAGCACGCACACAGCACGCACAGACACACACAAACACACACATACGCACACGCGCACAGACACAGACACAGACACACACAGACACACATACGCACACGCACACACATACGCACACGCACCGTCTGCAGTGTTGCGGAAGCTGTTAAAGGCGAGGGAGGCAAACGTCAGGCTGCACAGTGTCACGTGCAGTGGATGGATGCTTGGCGTCTGCGTCTCTGGCGTTGTTGATGCCACCCCAGACCTGTTGGAAGGTGTCTGTGTCTGCGATCTTGACGGCGACGGCGTGGGTGCTGCTGTTGCCCTCGTCTTCGTTGTCGCTGTTTTCCTCGTCTCCATCGTTGTTGTTGGTGTTGATGGTGGTGGTGTCGTCGATGTCGTTGTTGGGGTCTCTGCGATTGACGGGGCAAACGGGTTGGGCTTCCTTTGCCTCTTACTGCTCGCCCCCGTCTTTGGTGCCAACTTTGTTGTTGCCCTTCTGCTTCGTCCTGACACGACGTCCGATGCTGTGTCCATTGTCCTGCCTTGCACCCCGTCACCGTAGTCCTCGCCCTCGCTGGTCCGGTCCACGCTCATCTTTCGTTCAGGTGTCACGTCATCCTCCCCACTGCTCGGCTGCATGTCGCGGAAGAACGGGTTGCTGTGGTGCCGC